TAAAATTCCTCATATTTAATTGGCAATCACTCTGATATCACACCTATCTCCTGACATCTGGAGAGTTCTACCTTATGTTAATGCTAGTAATCATTAAATCCAGTGTATGAACATATGATGCTATTCTGATACTAAATTTATTAACTACACAACTCCAGTGCTCCATTTTCTAAAAAAAAAAAAAAAAGGTTTTGTAGCCTAGTTTTGGTTTTCCTAGTGAGAAGGAGTTTTTAAGTTCCTGTGATGTACATAGCAAATATGGATCTATTTTGCTTTCAGTAATGAAGCCTATAAGCTTTAGTGGTTTGAAGTAATTTCTTCAATACTACCATTTAATCACAGCTTAAATATGTGAAATAATAAAAAATATTTCATATGTCAAAGTATGATTTCTCTACTACATTATTTTCATCTATAAATTGAACAAAAGTATAAAGTAATACCCCATGACTAATTTGTGTAGCATATTCTGTTTAAAAATACCTACCCACTGATTTTTTAGGTGGCAACATTCATCAGACATTTGTTGATTTCTGACATGCCTATTAATAATAGGCTACATATATGCAATGTTTTCTACTGAAAAATAAAGTTTTTTTTAACTCTAATTGTCTTTCTGGTATTAACCATTTTTTAAAATTATGCTATCATATACTTTGAATATCCTCTATAATTATCTAATTAATATTTCAGTCCAATAGGAATTGTCAAATTACTATGTGCAAGGCACTTGTTAAAGCTTTATAGTCTACCCAAAGTTTGTGTACAAGGGTTTGTGTACTGTCCCAACAAAGCATGTATTATTTAAGACTGCTGTCTATACAGAAAACGTATAGCTCAATGTAATCATAAAGGTAAACAAGATATTTACTAGTAGCCCTAGCCGGTTTGGCTCAGCAGATGGAGCATTGGCCTGCGGACCAAAGGGTCACGGGTTCGATTCTGGTCAAAGGCAGTTACCTTGGTTGCAGGCTCCTGCCCAGCCCAGGCCCAGGCCCCTGGTTGGGGCTCATTTAGGAGGAAACCAACTGATGTGTTTTTCTCACATTGATGTTTCTGCCTTTCCCTCTTTCTTCCACTTTCCCTAAAAATCAATGGAAAAATATTCTCGGTTGAGGATTAACAACAAAAAGATACTTGTGAGAGCTCTGAGGAGGTCGGGTTCAGTTCTGATTGGAAAGCTTTGTGGAGTTCCTGAGACTTGAAGTTTGAAGGATGGGGTAGGGGCATAAAGGCAGGGAGAGAATAGTCAGCAAAGGCACAGAAGCAAGGAAGTGTAAGAAATGATGTGGAGTGTAGTGCTTAGTCATTAATTCACTCAAACATTCAGTGCCAGGCCCTGTACTAAAGTGCTGCTGAAGGAAAAAAATAAAGGGTTCCTGCCGTCAAACTTACGTGTTATGGAAATAATAACTGGGACATGTACTTAAAAAGAATAAAGTGGAATTAAAAATGAAGTAAAAGAAAAGACAGTTGAGGAGTGTGATAGTAAACAGGCACTTAAAGTTCCCAGGGTTTAGTGTCATCTAAAAAGTATTAGGTGGTGGGAGTAGATATATTTCTGCATTTTGCTCTCAAGACAATGGAGAGCCATTAGGATCTTTGAACCAGGGAATGGCATGCTCACTTCCCTGTTTTATGAAGTCTAAGATTAAAAGGAGGAAAGAGAGCAAAAAGGAAAACTACGTGAAAGTCTGGAAATAAAATCATGAGGCCCAGAAGTAGAGGAGCTTGAAGGTACTGACATGATAAGTTGAGAAATGAGTAGGGAGACAATGAGTAGGGAGACAATCAATTATTGTCTGTTCTTTGGAGAATTTAATAAAAGTGAAAAAGAAAAATAGGGTAATCAATTTTATATTGAAGTTTAGCAATCTCTCTTGAGTGAAATGTTAAGAGCTAACTGTTTACTACACATTTCTCCTGTGTCCTACTGGTAAACTTATGTTCATGAATTTAACATACATCCAATGATGTTTTCCTCCTCAATTTCCTATCCTGGTGAATTGCTCTACTAAACATTCTTGCTATCCAGATAAAATAACATAGCTATCCTACACACCTCATCCTCCCTGTTTTCTAAATATAGTAGTCCAGAAAAATGAGTACATACCAGCATGGAGACTGAGACGCATCCGTGAGGTAAGAAAAAACCAAAGTGTTGTTCTTTAAGCTAAAGGAAATTGTCTATTATGCAAATATTGCTGATGGCTCAAGCAATATGCCTAATAAATGACTATTAGAATCAGCAGGACAGAGATCAGCAAACTTGACTAGAACTTTTAACATAAATTTGTATGATGTAATGTCACTCCTCTCATTCGTGATATTTTTTTTTCCCCCTGATCAGTCTGGCTAGCTTATCAGTTAATATTTTTAAAAAACTAGCTTTTTTATTTCTAAACCTTTTCTATTACTATATTACCTTCAAAAATGTGTAAAAAATTTTTTGAAACTTCAAAGAAACAAGACACTTTGTTCTCTTCTCAGTAACTAATCATGTCGCTTCTTTCCTCATTCAAAGTTCAATCATAGTCCCACCACTGGCTAGCCAGGTCTCCCATGATCCGGCGCTGCCCATAACCCTCACCCCACTTTTCTCTGGCCTCATCCACTACGTCCCCCCAAGTTCATTCTGCTGGAGATACACTGGCCTCCTTGTTGTTTCTTGAACAAATGACGCACTGTTCCCACATCGAGTCCTTGATACCGTGTTCACATGCCTGGAACATCTTTCCTCGGGTCCACTTGCTTTCTTATCCTCACTGGTCTTTCATCGGCTCTCGCGTTCTCAGTGAAACCTTCCCTGAACGACCTTCCTACATGGCAGTCCTTTCCTCCTGGATTTTCGTATCCCTCTTTCCGGATTTTCTTCTTATTCACTGACATAAAATGTTTTTTAGTGTTTTTTCTTTTTACTGCCACATGTAGTCTCCACACACAGGGGCAACAAATGTAAACCCCAGAAGCCCTGGGCTTGAGCAATTTCAAATCCACAGGCCTGAGAATCAAATGAGGGCCACCAAGAACCATGGGAGGGGAATGGAGGTCATGGGGAGGGACTCCTAGGGTCACATACAGAAAACACTTGAGGGGAATGCCCCCAGAAGAATGGCTGCAGCAGAGATAGCAGCGTCATCCCTTCTCAGTCCGAGAATGAAGGATAGGAAGAGAGATTCCTGAAGACACAACCATGTGAAAAGCTTTTCACCCACAGACATTCCCAACATCAACGTTCAGTTATTACTGGTACATAAAGTATGTGTGTGTGGCGTGTGGTACAGAGAGTGCAGTAACAAATGGCAGAGGTTGACAGGCCAAATCATGGAAGGCCATGCTAATTTTATTAACCTATATATATAGTGCATAAAGTGTAAGTCTAGAATTTAAAATTACAGAGGTTTCTACAAATCAATAAGAAAATACAAATAACCTATATTAATCAGGACAGAAACCCAATTCAGTTATCTTAAACAGGAAAGGGACTTTATTGGCTCACAAAACGTTAAAGTCCAGAGGTAGGGCAGGCTTTAGGCACAGCTGGATCGAGGGCCTCCAGAAAAATGACATCAGAACTCAGTTCTCTGTCCTTTCTGCTAGCCTCTGAGCTTCTCCTCGCTCTCCCCACATGGTACACACAGTCCTTAGTTCCTGGGATCTCCATGAGCCGTGTTGCCAATCGTTTCCGCAGTTTGCTGAGAGCTCTCTGTAGCCTGGCTTGAGTTACACGCCTATGCTTTCATCACTGCGGCTACGGTAAGGAGCTGCAGAACTCAGGGAGGCCAGACCTGGTCATGTGTTCAGCTAAGCCATAGGGAATGGGTTCCCCGCAATAAATAAGGGCTCTGTTACCAGAAGACGGAAAAGATGCTGTACAAACAAAGACAACATACACCCACACGTAACCCAGCTGGAAAGCAGGTAGCGGATGCGAACAAACAATCCATGGCCAATAAACATGAACATAACCTCAACCTTATCATTAATCAGGGAAATGGAATTAAGGATTTGTTGTTATTGTTGTTCAGATAAAGTAAGTGCAGGTAAGGCCATCTGGGGAAATGAGCATTTTCCCACCTTTAGGAAGGCTAAGGTGAGCCTATCAGGGAGTGCACGCTGATGTAATAATCCACCTTAGACAACGCCATCCTAAAGGAATATTCACACACATGCACAAAGATATATGAAAAAAGATTTACTTTGGCAATGTAAGAGCAGGAGAAAAAAATACCTTCAGTCATGGTATTTTCATAATATTGAATCCTATTAAAGAAATTTAAAGACCTCAGGAATAGGTTTTTTGAGACCAAAAAAAGGCAAGCTGTAGAACAGTACATATATGATCCTGTTTATGTAAAAATAGCTTTTATATGCTTATGTACATTCAAATGGAGATGTATGGAAAGGGGACTAGATAGATGTATACTAAACTCTGGGAAGTGGAATGTGATTGAAGTGCTGGAGAAAGTCTTTGTTCTTATACCTGTATCATTTATGCTTTATACATTGAGCTAGTAGTCATTTATACTTTCATAATTTTAAAAAAAAGAAACATGGGCAAACACAATTCATAACAGGAAATCCAAATGGCCAATAAACATAAGAAGAAATGTTCCTCATTATCAAAGGAAGGAAATACATTTTGCCTATCAGATTGGTGTGGGTGCCCACAGGCACTCTTATTATTGAGGAGTTGTAAACTGCTGTAAATTGGTAATCTTTTGGGTGGCATCTCTTAAAATGCTGAATGTGCACATTCTCTGACCCAAAAAATCCACTTGTATTTATCCTACAGAAATACCCACACAAGCAGCAAAATATACGTACAAGGATCTTAACCATACCTTTATCTATAATAATTTAAAAAAAGAACGAAATTATCCAGGGGTTGATTAAATAAATAACAGTATATTCATGCAATGGAACAGTATTTGTAGCCATGAAAAACAATGTCTATATCAAATTGAAAAGGAGGGGAGACAATTTCAGAGCAGTACATGTAAAATGGGGATATGTACCTACCTCATATGGTTGCTGTGAGGATTAAGAGTTAATCCATGGTAAAGCACTTCAAAACAGTGCCTTTATAGGAACCACAAGTGTCGGCTATTAACACATTTTTGCTTAAACTTGTATATGCCTAAGTCTGGAAGAATAACAGACCAAGTAATTATTACTTGTGAGTAAGACTATGAGAAAGAATGTTCTTTTTCACTTCATATTCTGTACTATAAAAAATCTTAATGAGTGAATTTAATAGTTTTCATTTTTGTTAACTATAAAAGATAAAAACCTCTGAACCATAAAAGATAAAATCTAAAATCAAGGTTTAACAGCCACTGCTCATGGCATTGTGGAAAAATTGATGTCTGTGGAGTTCACAGAACTAGATTTGAGTGTTAGCTCTACTTGGCCACATGCAAGTCACATGATCTCTGAATCCTGCTGTTTAGTCTACAAATCTAAGTGCGATAGGGAGGGTCTAATCCGATGCCTGGCATGCAGGTTATTTCAATACATATAATGCTCCCTTCAACCTACATTAATGCGGTAGACATACTGCTAAATGATCAAGTGCCAACTGGGTGTGAATGTAAGGAGCTTAACCTCCAAGAAACCCAGAATTTACCAGTAATGAGCAAAAGCTCAGTGGCTATTGGGTAGGTATCAGCAGTCTGCATGCCATTAACACTGACTGCTTGTTTGCTAACCAAAAGTTGCCACTGCTTGACAACTGCCAGATCACCATTTCATCAGAGGCTACGCAGCCTCCAGAATTGCTATGATTATCTGTGTGGGTATAGATAAATGTATAGATGAAATCATAAATCACTGAATAGTTATTTTAGGTTGATTTATCCACTGGGGATATAACCTAATCAGAAACAGCAAGTACACCAACCACTTTCTTTTCCTGTGGACCATCACCCAGTCTTTTTGGATCCAGCCATTTCCCCACTGAGCCCTGCCATAGCCTCAGAATGTTTCCTAAACAACCCATGGCTATGAGCTGGCAAGACAAACACCTATTTGCCAACTCTAACACTACTTTGTCTAAGCTCTCACGTTATACCAAACATCTTTGGCCTTTAAGACAAATCTACCACACTGAAGCTTCTTGGTATACAGAAAAGATATAAAATCGAAAAAAGCATGAAATGTCAACCACTGAGAGCTTGACCCCTTCTTACCTACTCTGATATTAAGAATCCTGTCATCCTAGCAGAATTCCAAATATGCCACCTCAAAGCCTACTTGGAAAGAAACCAGTGATCAATCAATCAGTCAATCAATCAACTCAAGATCATTGCATCTTGGAGCAGAGGAGTCTATAGCTTTATCGGACATTGACATGTTTCCTCTCAGCTACAGAAAAAAAGACCCAAACAAAAGTCCCTACATTTCCTTGTATAACTTAAAACACATTATATCATTACTACATATTTATAGTTCAATAAACCTTAATCTATAAAGCACATTTCTTATAATTATCAGAAAACCTATAAACAAGCCCCATTCTGCCTCGCTTCTCCACCAGCTGGCCTTGCATGTATTACTATGCTTTTTAATAGGCTCATGCAAATTTCACCTTCCATTTTTAAAATTTAATCCAAGCACCAGTTGTAACCAAAATCTCTGGAACTATGACATACTTATTCAAATGGGTCATTTTCCACACAATGATGCCCACTATAAGAAAGCCTTTTCTCATTTTCTGTATTTTAACTTCCAGAGCTTTCCACTGAACAGTAGAACCACAGTACTTCAGATTCTCAGCCAAGGAGTATATAACCCTACTACTACAATGCATTACTTTCATACATTTATAAAAATGTGTTAAGACTTAAAATTTTTAAAAAATAGTTCAATCAATTCTGATAGTTAATAAACTAGTTGTTAATAACCTAGTCGTTTACTTTTTAAATAGAACAATCCATTCAACTTAACATGTAAGTACAACCTCAATGCTAATAGAGATTGATTAGTTTTATAAAACCTCCAAACTGTGATAGAATTTTAGACTCACCTCTGAGGAATGCTGGAGAGATGGTTAGGATTAGCAGTTTGAGCTGTCTTCCTTTCCCCCAAATACAGCACCCTGGTAAGAGAACTGTGGCTCCCCCAGGACTGCTCAGAAGGGGGCCAGAAGCTAACTCACAAGAAACTGCTTTGTACCAGTTCCCCAATAATATACAGTGGAAGAATCACCTACCTACTGATGGTAGGGCTACAGTACCCAGCACAGTGCCTTGTCGGTAGAAAATGTTGAATGAATGAATGCGTGGCTGCTTTGTTAGCCTGGTATTCAACCCTTTTTTACCAAAAAAATAAAATAACAAACCCGATACTCGTTACCCACCTGGTCAGGGATTTTTTTCTATCCTTAACAAAAACGAAGGCAAAATAATAATGAATTGGATCTTCTAAAAGCCAAGATTGACTATTACCTTCACATTTGCCTTTCAACACTGTCATTGACTGCAAATTCTCAAGTGTTTTTTCTACTTTCATAGTTTATGATTCTTGTTTAGACTGTCCACTTTCTAATGAAGCAGAAAACATTATTTTCATTAGTGGGATGCCTCCAAGTTACAGACAGGATGCAGCATTTTTATTTTCCTACAGGCAGATAATTACATCTAGATAAATTCTTGATACACTTCAATTCTTGGGATCCAAATATTTTTACATCTTTCCCAATCTAGGCGTCCCATTCACTTTTTGATGTTTTATCACCATCACTTCTAATTTTACTTTGAAGCTTTAGTCATCTTTTATCTTCTATTTTCTGAAATGCATATCCAAATTGGGTTAAAACAAAAAACAAAAAACAGAAGAGTAAATTTTGAAAAGATGGTTTCGGTTTTCAGACTTCATAATCCCTATGTTGCCCTTTAATGTAGAAGGGAAGGGAATGTATCCTTGCAAAGAAGATTCCATGATCAACACAAACCTAATGTGTCTGTCTACAAAAGAAAATTGTAAGAGACAAAGAATCAAGTAGATCATTATTTGGAAAAAAATAGTAAGAATATAAACATCACATGAAAGATTTAGGCATTCACATGTAAATTAAGTTTAAAATTTCAGTTTCTAGGCAGGTATGACACCATTCTTTCAAAACAAACTGATAATGTTGAGTGACAATGTTGTACATTTCCCAGTGGATTTTCTAACATTCTTATAGGGAGACCAAACTGTATCATTATGTATCATTCCATGTTTTTGTCTTCATTTCTGAAGAAATAGACCTGAGTGCTGACTTTTATTTTTAATTTCTTAAACTTTCACAACATTCAGCAGTTTTTCTGCATTGTGTCTTCGCTGATGTCTGAAAAGATTTGAGCTTTGACTATAGGATTTCCCACACTGAACACATTCGTAAGGTTTCTCCCCAGTATGGATTCTCTGATGATTAATAAGCCCAGAATTCTGGCTAAAGGCTTTTCCGCATTCAAGACATTTGTAAGGTTTTTCCCCAGTGTGGACTCTCTGGTGTTGCACAAGGATGGAACTTCTGCTGAATGCCTTCCCACATTCAACACATCCATAGGGTTTCTCTCCGCTGTGGATCCTTTGATGAAGAATAAGTGCTGAACCCTGACTGAAGTGTTTTCCACACTCATCACATATATGTTGTTTCTTTCTCGAAGGATTTCTCTTTCTTTCAAACCTGCCCTTAGGGAAACAGGCTTCTCCGTATTTAAAAATCTGAGGAACCCCCACACTGAGCGTGCCAGGAACTTCATGAGATTCCACTGCTGAAGGAATCTCATGCTTTGGAGCTAACGCTCCATTTTCAGTCCTAGCATCATCATCTGAAACAAACAGAAAATGTAAATATCACTCATTTCCTATTCTGGGAGAAAGAAACCCAAAGGAAAAAAAAAATAATGAATTTAAAGTAAATAAATAGCTTCCATTCATCTATAAACAATATTGTGAAAGCTGATGCTAAGGTTGCCACTCTCAAAAGAGAAAAATATGAAATGACTGATTGTGAGGCTAATGAGGTAAATAACATAATGAGGGATTAAACAGTTAAATCTGAACAGAAGTAGGAACAGGCTAGTGGGTTACAAACGGTAATGAAGGGGGAAAAAAGAACAGAAAGATGGTAGATTTTAAGACATTCAGGAGAGAGTGACACAACTAGGTCTGGATGAAACTTTGTAAGAACAAAAATAAGGCTGGCCATTAGAAAAGCATTATAATATTCTTTAGCTTTGAAAAAGGGAGAAATTACCTCAATACAATGGTATAAAAAATAAGCCATCAGTTAGAAAGTAGCTATTTCTGAAGTGAGCAAGACAAGACAGGTCACAGCCAAGATGAGAACACAGGAGTCCGGACAGGGGCTGAAGATGAGCTGGGAGCATCCTGTTAGTTCAGGTTGACACTCACAGATGCAATACGCCCCATAAATGCAAGTTTTCCTGTGAAGAACGCTGCCCTACTTGGTATTTCTCAGTATCTAGATGAGTCTTTCTTAGCCTCAGACAGATGTGCCTAGTGAAAGAACAGCCTGAATTATCAGCATGAGGTACCATCACATCTGCAGGCAGCTATACGAGCAAGTTTCATTTACAACTTTCCTGATACACACACCCCAATAAACAAATGTTTTTAATTATTTAAAAATATATAAAATTTACAAGAAAAAAAAAAGACTTTCCTGAAACTTGAAAAGTCAAGACGGTTACTACAGGGTGAGCAGCAGCACTCGGAAAGGTCCATAATGGATGACTGAGAAAGGGATAAAGTCAGGAGAAAAGGCTGACAAGGAGAGACTGAGAGGGTCTCTTGGAGAGCAGAGGAGTGTACAGGTTACGTGGAGACAAATGGCACAGTAAGAAGAAAGTTCTCAAGTGAGGTAGAGACCAGACTGCTGAAATGAGGAATTAAAGAGATGAAACGTATCCTAAAACTCAGGCAGGGGCGAAGTTTTCTACCCAAGAAAATGCCACCTCCAAGCCAATGATAAGGATTTGCAAACTGTATTGTACAGAACAATGTCCAGATTCCCAGCATGCTTCAGCCCCACACCCGAAGTTCTGAATCGAGAAAACACATCCAGTAGTCTGAGGGATAAACTGGGTGGTATCAAAGTATACAAACAAGAATGTGGCATTAGTTATAAAAAATACTGGGAAGGACTAATTTAATTTTTCTGTATTTAAAAGCTTATCATAGCCCTAGCCAGTTTGGCTCAGTGGATAGAGCATCAGCCTGCGGACTGAAGGGTCCCAGGTTCCTATTCCGGTCAAGGGCACATGCCCGGGTTGCGGGCTCGATCCCCAGGTGGGGGCGTGTAGGAGGCAGCCAATCAATGATTCTCTTTCATCACTGATGTTTCAATCTTTCCCTCTCCCTTCCTCTCTGAAATCATTTTTTTTTTTTTAAAAAGCTTCTTATAGCTAGAAAGCCCATTTTTGCATGAATACTTAAAGATGAAGAGCTTTATCAAGATACTATTTTTACAAAAAAAAGAACCTTAGAAAAAAATGACTCTGGATAGGATGTTGAAAAAATAGGCAAAAATTTAGAAAGACCAGTAATAAACAACAAATAAACAGACTTGAAGAGGCCTCAGGGTAGTTTACTGTACCAGTGAGATGAGGCAGGAGACTGAACGGACATGGAACAGACGACCAATATGCACAATTGTATACACAGTGCACAGGGACCTGGGCTCCAGGCAGGCGCTGGCTCAGAGTGAGCAGATGCCAGCCAGCCTGAAACGGGCCGGCCATCCAGGAGGAGGCGAAAGAGAAGAAAAGGCTGATGGTGATGTCTAGGAATAAAAGACCTGAGCTGAGCAAACTAACTGTTATGAGAAAAGAACCAAGCTCCTACAGGGTGTCCAGTCTAAGAACGAACACACACACACGTAACAAGCAAAGGGTTCTAGACAGAAGCCCCGCACGGTCTCACCCTCCACCCCGGGAAGCCTGGTGCTCACCGCAGTGCCTGAGGGAGTGGAGCTCCCAGGACGCCCACTTGAGCTGGTTTTCCACAGCATCAAGCTCCGAACTCGGTAATCCCTGCGCTTCTTCTTGAGATGCAATCTCCTCCACCAGCACCTCCCGCTTCCGCCGGCAGAGAGAAACCTGCGAATGAAATTGGGGTCGGTTGATACGGAGTTTCATGCGAATCGGAACTCAGGGGACCCGAGAGAGGCCGCGGGACACAGACACTGCATTGAGTGGGGGTAAGTCAGCAGTTCTGCCTACTGGGGGGCCAGGGCCTCGGACCCAGGAAAGCGGCAGAAGCAGGCTCACCGACTGTCCGGGGTCATCCAGTTCACTCTCCAAATCCTCCAGCACCGCCACCGCCTCCTCTCCATTCTCGGGGTGATGCTCGCGAACCCAAGTCTGCAGCTCCTTGGGGAGGATGGCCACGAACTGCTCCAGCACCACTAGCTCCAGGATTTGTTCCTTCGTGTGCGTCTCGGGCCTGAGCCACAGGCGGCAAAGTTCTCGAAGCTGGCTGACGGCCTCGCGGGGCCCCGGGGAGTCCTGGTACCCGAACTTCCGGAACCGCTGTCGGAAGACCTCCGGGTCAGGGAGACGGCTCCAGGGGATGCTCGATCCCTCTTCACCATCAGGATCCTCCTCCAACTTCACCCTCAGGATTTTTTCCTCCTCTTCTGGAGTCGGGATGATAAGTATCGAGTCTTCTTCCCCTGACTGCGTAGACATCCTGATTTTACTGCTTCACGGAGAGACAATCGAGGCAGGCAGAATACAGGCCCCGGGGAGATACCTCGTTTTCTCCACAGGCAATCCTAAGACACAAAAATTAACAACGTAAACGACCAATTATCCTAAGAATTTGGATACATGTTGATAAAGGAGGTAAAAACATTTTTTACTGAATTAAAAAATTCCAATCAATAAACTATACCAGAAGTTGGCAAACTGCAGCTCAGAGTCAAATCTGGCCTGCTGCCCATTGTTGTACACTTGTATTAAGAATAGTTTTCACTTTTTTTTTTTTTGATCCTCACCTGAGGATATTTCTTCCGTTGTTTTCTAGA